AGTAATTTGAGCTCAGGATTTTTCAGGAGCATGACTGATGCACTTAAAACAGTGTTAGTGTTAGGAAGTGAACATTGTGATTAAATGTTGGGTGTTTGTTTTTTTGGGAGGGATAAAATTGTGGCCATTAAGCACAGAATCTCTCTCCATCGTCTGGCTTTGTACCAATGTATCCATTGTGGCCACAATGACTTCGGGTTTTTTTTTTTTTGCATGTCCGTTTGCACCTGACCTTTAGAAGCACTAAGAAAGATGCAAAAACTGCAGTTGAGTTTCTGATTTTGAAAACCGCTTTGCATGTGGTAAAGGTTTGCATCTCTATATTCGCCATCCACTGATGATGGCTTGCACACAAAAAGGTATCGCACGAGCTGTATGTTGATTTGAAAACATAAATCTCTTTGCTTCTCTTAAAGATCTGCTCTACTCACACAGACTCCATTTGCACAAGTGTAAAGTGTAAGTATTCCATTGTAACACTGGACGGTTATTGGACGGAACCAATTAAAAGTGATTTCTACAGCAGCAATTTCGAAAAAGAAAGAAATGCTGATAAACATTGCTTGTTGGAATTAGTCAAGCATTAGATCCTTAATATCTGAACTAATCAAAACTGACCCCTTTTTTCTGTTTTTGTCTTTTAAACAGTTGGTTGTGTGTAGACATTTCTAAAGAGGTTGTCAATGTGGGGATTAAACAGAGTTATTTATTGTTTGGACTCTGGGAATTTTAAGTGGGACATTAGAGGTGAATGCATTTGAACACTTCAGTGAAGCAAACTTCAAGGTTTTGAAGGGGAGACCATTTGGGCTCTTGTCATGTGCTGTTCTGCACAATATTGTGCTGGAGAGATGGGTTAAATTTGGTTTTCTCCACTCTGATATGAGCCAGTTTAGAAGTGCAGCACATCATCCAACTCTGGTAAAAGAGTTGATTTGGTAGGCATGATATTAAAACTATATGATATAAAACATGCCATTTAGTTTGCCAGTAATTATGTGTGATGTTTTTATCCATCCATTCATCCATTTTCTGTCACGCTTATCCTTGCTGGGGTTGTGGGGGGGTGCTGGCACCCATCTCCAGCTGTCTACGGGTGTCTACAAGTCCATCGCAGGGCTACACAGAGACAAACAACCATTCCCGCACACCTTAGGAGAATTGAGTGAAGCCAATGAACCTAACAGTCATGTTTTTGGACTATGGGAGGAAGCCGGAGTCCCCGGAGAGAACCCATGCATGCTCAGGGAGAACATGCAAACTCCATGCAGAAAGACCCCAGGCCTGGAATCAAACCTTGAATCTTCTTGCTGCCAGGCAACAGTGCCACCCACTGCACCACTGAGCAGCACGTGATGTTTTCAATAGAAATAAAATATATATTTTTTAATTATTTTGAATACTTTATTCATGGAAACGAAGCCACCATGATTTACATTGATAGGCATCCAGACGCGTTTAAACATCAGGTCCATTGCGTGCTTGGGATTGGGCCAATGTTTACACAGATTCATGCTCCTGCCTTACAATCATTACTCCACCCAATGCCACCGCCAGGTGTTGATAAAGCAGACGAAGTGTGCTCTACCAATATCTTATCATTTGATTGTAACATTTCTCTCTTCTAACCCTCTGAAGCATGGGATCTTTGTTACAATCAAGTCAGTGCACGAGAACAGTGCTGCATTCATTGTCTGATACTGAGGGACCTTAACCTCCTCCTCGCCATGCACGCTATGACCAGTGTGGGTTTATACGCTCTCCTCCAAGTAGGAGTTGGTGTTCGCAGGCGTGTTGGAAAAGGCCTCTGTGGTCTGAGGCTGACCGGCTCAGAGTATTTATATTACAGAAAAATCTACCATGTTTTGTCGCTGACGGATCTGATTTCTTTTTAAATGATGCTTTAGGGCCTAAGGGGGAATTTTTGAGGTTTTCTTCCGATCTGTTTTCCCTTACGGAAACAGTGGAAATAGCAGATTTGGTTTCGAGATGGCTGACCTTTCACGCACAAACACTTTTAGCACAAACTTGCATCTGAGCACACATGATGGGAGCTCAGATATGTCAGATGGCTTGGTGGGTGATATATACGCTCAGTCATAAAGTCTGACAGATTATCTCAGGGATTGTGGAAACCTAAGAATGTTTGTGTTCGAGTTAAAGGGCCGTAGTTCGAGTTTAAAGGCTGATCTGAAAATAACCAGATGGGCCTGTGAAAGTATGCAGTGGAGAAGAAAGCAGCAGTGTGACTGAAAAGCAGCTTTTCTATTTTAAACTAATGCTACTTGAAAAAATGTGTTTTTTGACAGTAGTATAGTTAATCTTTTTTTTTGTTTTGTTTGTTAAAGCAGACTAGTCATGATTATAACCCTGCTCTTATTAGTGAAATTAAATAGGATTTTAAGATTAGACCGGTCTTTTTCCTCTAAAAATGCTCTGAATATACCCGGCCAATTGCTAGAAAGGAACGCATTCTAGAGGTCCGGTGATTCTCAAACTGATGCTTTTTTAATATTCCCCCACTTACAATATAAAAATGACACATTGTCACATTTATCATCACATTAGGATGTATTGCTTTTCTTTTTTTGACATTATGTTTGTCAGACCACAGCACTAATTCCTCTCTGGCACGTCCTAAAGATTTTGTGGGGGCTAAAGTTTGGACACTTGGCTGAACAATCTGTGTGTGAGCATAATTTAGGGTTAAATAATATGTTTCCAGCTGAAACTAAATAACTTTTGCAGTAATTATCTAATGGCACACTTGTACCTCTTGTTTTCTTCATGTAGTCCAGGTCAGTGTGTAGGTCCACTAGCTCCGAAGAAGAGACTCCACAGCATCCAGATCACTTCCTAGAATGGGCTTTATTTTCTATAGTTCTAACTGAAAAGACATGAGTCTGATATAAAGTAAACGTGACGGTCAGCCAGGCTTCTGTCTTTCTAAACTGGCTGTGAACTGAACGGGGGGTTTCCAAACCATACTGTTTGGATCATGTTCTCCTTTGCTCTTTGGACAAATGTTTCTCTCTTCTTGCTCACATTTCCAGCTGTGCATGTCCACAATGTCTGCTATGAAGCTCAAGTCCAAACAGAAAAAACCCCAAACAAAACTGTCTGCATATGCTGCTAACTGGTATTAATGGGCAGACAATGTTTATCGTCATTAACAGATTTAGCATTGATTTCAAAGCCTTAAATCTTTGTATTCAGATCCGTTGGTTAAAAAAAAAAAAAGTGTTTTTCCCTCCTCTATTAATCGTATTTTATTTCTGTATGGATTCATCCATTTCAAAATGTTTATTTTTTCTAACAATGCATTCCTTGGGCTTCCATAGATCATAGTAACATCAGTTCATCACTTTTTCCTCTTGTATGTCTACTCCTAACTCACAATCTAGCTCACTGTGTGACACAAGGAGCTGCAAACATTTAGGGACTGATCTTCAAAAAGTTTGCGTCTTAAAACGGGTGTTCAAACGGTTTTGAACGTGCAGATAAAACCTTCAAAGAAGGTGCAAAGTGATAAGTGTTTGCATTTCAGCAAACAGTCATTTTTTTGTATTTGTGCCTTCAGTATAATTCATCAAACTCACAGGTGAAGGATGTTCAAATGTAAACATTTATGACGTGCAAAGCGGCTTTTCCAAATCCAAAGCTCGACTGCAGCTGAAGTTTTTCTGTCTTTAGTGCTTCTGAAACTCTGGTGCAAACTGACGCACAAAAATATCTGCTTTCATTGAGGCCTCAGGGGAGGCATTGGTGCAGAGCCAGTGGATGGAGATTCTGTCAGCATGGAAGCATATTTTGACCTTAAGAATAATAGAATTAATTTTTTTTTTTTTTTATAGTCTACAGAGGCCGGTACAGATTAATGCAGCACGACGGCAGACTCCCTTTACATAATTAAACCACAACAAAAAAAAGACTGCATTTAGTTATTGTGGAATGTGTTTCTTGTGCTCTGTAGAGACCACAGAAAGTGTGGGATCACTGCAGGTTTCAATAATGCAAGTTGCACATTTATGTTTTATATGTTTGCACCTCTTTTCTGCTTTTCTGCTAACTTTTTGTCAGTATCTCCAACTACATGGCTTAAAACCTCATCTTTCTTTAACAACCGCCCTCACCTGCCTGCAGAACATGCAGTCTTTTCATTTTAATGAGCGGAGGCAAACTGGTTTGAACATCTTAACATCTTTAGATCACCAAAAGCATTCCCACTTTTTGCACATACTAAAAAAAAAATAGCATGTGCAATTTGGCACCTCTTTTTTGACATTTTTGAAACCCTTTGAGGACCTTGGTGTTTTTTATTTTCATTGTTCGTTGTGTTTTACAATTATGTTTAACAGCTTAAACCCTTTCAATTAAATTAATTTAATCAATCAGTCCGATTTAGGATGAAAATAAAATCTGAGATTTAATCACCCAGCTTTACCAAAATACTTTTTTTGTTCAGTATTACTGAACTAGCAAATAAATTTGCATGCCATCTGGGTAGAGATGAGACTGATTTATCGAATGGCGTATATTAGCATTTTACTATCGGCCCTACTGTTCATTCATTGGCCAATTCATCAGTGCATTCAGCAGCAATGCCTTGAGATCCTGTGAAACTCATGCATTGCCGCTCCCTCAAACTGCTACTCATATTTTTTTTTGATAAAGGTTTATTTTTTTTAAATGCAACCTGCGTAACGTTTTTATCATTGCATGATTCTTTTCATATAAATAGAGGAAGAAAAAGCAACATTTGTTGCAAGAATCGACTCAGTCTAGCCAGTCCTCGATAAATTGATCTCTACATATGCTGTTAGAAAAAGCAGTGGATTTGATTAAAAGATGTCTCTCTCTGTACATTACTTGGCACCTGTGGTCATCCATTATTTGACTCATTTTTATTTTGTAAACTGTACTATGGTGACTTAAGGGGATGGATTTTTTATTATTAGTGCAGATTATCAGTTCATACATATTTTGTCTGTGTGTTTTAGGTGGAACAATCCAAAGTTTTGATCAAGGAAGGGGGTGTCCAGCTGACACTGACCATTGTGGACACGCCAGGTTTTGGAGATGCAGTGGACAACAGCAATTGGTACAAAATACCACCAATCACATGTTCTTCATTTTCCTGTATTCCTCTCTGATCCATGTCCTCCATTTCACCAGCTGGCAGCCAGTAATAAACTATATCGACAGCAAGTTTGAGGACTTCCTTAACGCAGAGTCGAGGGTGAACCGTAGATCCATGCCGGATAACCGAGTTCACTGCTGCCTGTATTTCATCGCGCCTTCTGGCCATGGGTAAGTACAGCATGTAATAGGAGCTGGGGAGAGGCTTTTATGAGGAGAAAATGATTTAAAGATGGCAGCCATGCACAGAAGGAGAGACGCAATATATTCATCTCCCTGTGTTGAAGATGAGGAGACAGTCAGCCAGAGTTTGACCCACAAAGGTTACATAACCCACTTTTGCACATGCTCAGTAAAGATCTGCTCACAAACACAGAAGCAGCCAATCAGAAGGGAGAGCCTAAGATGTTCACACATGCAGACAAACACCTTCTTCTGTCATCTTGCAGCATATTAGAGAGTGTATGTGTGCAGCAGTGGATTTGTACAACTCTGAAATAGATTTAAAATATCCCTGGAGAGGGAATACATCAGTGGAATTTAATCTGCAGTCGGGTGTTCAGCTCGGATTGATATATAAATATCAGAAACGTTTTCTCCAGACCTAACTGTTCTATTCAGCAATGCAGAACAAGGAGACCCCTTACAGTTAAATACAATCACTCAGTTAGTGCAGGGCTTTGAAAATGTGATTATGATCCTCCTCTTTGAAAACTAGACATGCACAGTAAAGGTTCAGTCATGCTAAGCTTCCTTCACTCCCTAGATATATGTTCATGTGTTGTAATATCTGACAAACTTTATACCGTTCAGCTGGCTTTTACTGAAACTTTACAGACATTTGCTGTTTCCCCTTTTTAATTCTATCCAATAAGCAGCCAAGGCACACTTTGGAGCCACTCCATACACAACTCACAGAAAGCTGTAAAATTTGAAAAGGTATAAATCTTGAGTTAAAGGAACGCTCCAGGCAAATGTTCCCAGACGCAAACTTCCTCCAGTGGGTTTGTGTCCCAAGCACTTCCATCAGCAGTCTTCTTTTTTCTGTTTTATTGATGGTTTCTTAAATCATTGCCAGTGTTTACGAGATAATTTAGGAGTTCTAAAACAGACATTTCTGGACAGTCGATATCTTGTCTACCCGAAGTCTGAGTGCAGACATACTGACTCCGGTTTTATCCGGAGCTGCTTTCACTCAATCACTACTGGAGCAGTGGAACACAAACTTCACCCAAATGTGCTTCTTCTGTGCAGATATCACGTCTATTTCTCTATTTTTATTATTCTGCATTCCTGCTCCAACAAACTAAAGCACGCTGTCAGAGGTGTATGCAAACACAAACATCATGCATTGTTTTGTTTCACAAATAGAAAAGACTGCACCCATACAGGCTCCACTGTTTACTGCGTATTTAATCATGTGGTTGTTTGCTGTAATGAAGCTCATATTTGCCTTCCTACACAGCTCAGAGTTCATTGTGTCAGAAACTTATTTGACATTCAGTAGTCAAGACCCTGCAGGGGACACACCACTTTCTTGTTCTTCTCATTTGATTTGATCTAATTTGCTGTTCTTTGTGTCCCCCTGCTGGTGACCCACTAGACTGCAACTCCATTGCAAATTGATGCACTGAAGGTGAAGGCTTGGGTTCATTCATCTGAATTTAATTTTTTCTGTGAGTCATAATGCCTGACAGCACTGCTGACCTTCTGTAAAGTTAACTCAGATATGCAGCAGCCAAGAATTTAATTAACCCAGAATAGTTAGACCTAAACTACAGAGATGCTGACTATAGGGCTGACTAATTTTGAGTTTGAGCTGTTAGTTTCTTTTACTAAAAATATTTCAGTATTCAAGTGTTACATTCATTCTTTTATTTTAGTTATTTTCTTTTACTGATCTGGAATTGCAGTTATCAGTCATCTTATTTTGTTTATAGTAAAGACCGCTTTAACTGTTCCACTGTGATACATGCAGCTAACCAAAGAAGAAATGGAAAATCATGCTAATAAAAATGTGTCTACAATTTGATGCTACCAAGATCTTATTCATTGTTCAGTATTTACCTGAATCCATTTCTTTAGTGGAAACTACCAGCAAACATGGATAAATCTGACTGGAAATGAGTGCCTGACCTACAGAATCTATGACTGAGGTTAAGAACAGACAGATAACAAAGTTTTCTCTCTAATTTCAAAGGGACGGTATTGAAGCAGAACACCAGCATAAGTTACTCCAAAAACTGGAGCTGATCACAAAAATAAATTCTCAAATTATTGTTGGGTGTCTTTCTGTTCATTTATAGTAATATCGTACTTACCATAGATAAATATGAATCAGCCTTGCATTAGAAATGCTGCTTGGTGACTTTTCTGCATGTGAGTCTTCAGACATACATCTGTTCATCAGGCTACAGAGCAGCAAAGTAAGCCAGACTTTCTAGAGCAGTATTGTTCAGAATGAGTCACAGACTTTCTTTGGCGTGTGCAGCACAGTTCCTCCTGCTGTGATCCGAGGCAGAGCCGGGTCCTTTTCAGTGTCATCACAGTGGCACATGTTCAGTACCAATTGCAATGATTTCAATCTAAGAAGAGTAAACAGAATCCTGATTAATTTCCAATAAATATTATCATCACACTTTTCTACATTAATGACATAGCTTTGTTTTCCTAATATGATTTAACCATTTGGCATAGCGTTATGCTTGATTCAAAATGTGAATTCGACCATAGTGACGGGATATAAGGAGTCCTATGAATCTGCAGTGTTCCCCATGGGTTGAGAATTTACATGTGGTGTTGGGCAGACCAGCTCACAGTCTGGGCGCAACATAACTGGATATGGACCCCTCAGTTCGTCATGACTGCTTTCTTTCATGGTTCCAACAAGTTAATCAGAGCTATTTATTTCATTGGAAATGTTTTTCTAATGTAAAGTCTTGATTGATCAATTAATGTAATAATTAAATCAGGGATCTCAAGTTAAATAAAAATGTCACTCTTAAATGTATAACATTTATGGCACTTTTGGCTTTCCATAGGTTCTGCAATTGGATTGGTTTCTATTTATCTACTCTTGTTTAGATTTGCAGGATCATTTTATTTTTCTTTGCTGTATGAACCAGTATTTCCACTGACTAACCTGTATGTGAAATAATCTCCACCTGATTTTAATACCTTCCTTCCTTTTTCTCTCTTTCTTCAGTTTAAAACCTCTGGATATTGAATTCATGAAGAGGCTCCATGACAAAGTCAACGTCATTCCTCTCATCGCAAAAGCCGACACACTGACTCCTGAGGAGTGTCAGCTCTTTAAAAAACAGGTTCGTCTTTCTGTTTCTGCTACACTGGCCATAAAAGGTGTACGTTGCCAAAAAAACAATAGTTTTAAAGACTGTTTTTATCATACTGTTTCCTCTTTATTTTCCTTATAAAACTTGTAATATTGATTGAACAGATGATAAAATTGCTTACCTGTGTTAAATCGAATCATTAGTGCTTTATGCCATTAAAAGGTTACCTATATAACCCCTTAGTTTCATTAGATGCGGAAATCTCAATAATTTTTTCCCCTCATACTTGTAAATGTTTAAATCCTTGTTTAATAGGCCTACATTTACGCTTCCCCCTGTATTTCAGGTCTTTGGGCCGTATCTCTAATTCAGATTTTCTTTCACACCCTGACAGATAATGAAAGAGATACAGGAGCACAAGATAAAAATTTATGAGTTCCCCGACACTGAGGACGACGAGGACAACAAGCTCATCCGCAAGATCAAGGTAATCAACAGAAAATGGCTTTTATTTTACATCAAGGCTTTGAAGAATTTGATCTGTGTCCAAACCTCATATTCTGCTTTTGATCCCTCCCAAAGCTGCTCCCTAAGGAAACTTTAACCATTACTACTAACAGTTGTAATGGATAAAGTTACTACTGTTCATTTAGCTAAAGGAACTTCAGTCTTACTTCTGGGTTGGGAGCTGTGTTCCTTATTGGACCATTTGCTGTGTTCAGTCTTAACATATACAGACCTTGCTGAAAAATAAGAACTTATTAGTTCGACCATATGTTCCACTTTATAATAACTCCCAAGTTAGTCAAGACTATGATGAATAACACGCATATTTAAAAGTAAAATTTAGCTTCCTTCGTTGCCAAAGATCAAGACTCCCTTTTCACATTTGTAGATCCCACAGTCTCCTTCATATAAAGTAGTGGTCGGCAACACTCAGCTCTTTAGCGCCCTCTTTGTGGCTCCCTGGAGCTTTTTCAAATATTTATGATAATAGATTTTTTTGTTTGTTTAATATGGTGTGCAGGAGGTCAAACAAACCTTCATTATATTTTTCAATGCCGTAAACATTTTTATAATAAATACATTTAAACAATAAATGTAAGCATTTCTTTCAACGAAAATTGGCGTCATAGCCATATAGATCAGTGGCCATAGCCTGCGACACACGTTTCAAAGCGGCGGGTGTGTCTCGGGCCATGGATCCCAAAGGGGGAAAAAAGTAATGACCTGATGACAACAGAGGATTCAAAGAAGAATGGACTGAATTATCTGCGTTTATTATCAGTGTGGAAGGGTTGCTGCATTTTTGCTTTGTAATGAGAGTTTATCAAAAAATAGAGTAATTTGGAAAGTCATTTTTAGGGAAGGCAAGCTAAATATGCAGCCAATCACCAAGTTGGGAGGGAGAGAAAAAGTGCGATTGCAGAACTTCTGGATAAATTAGAGGAGCGCAAAGATAACTTTTAGAAGTGGATTATATCTCCAAACTCCACTGCTGCTAGTTTTGTTGCAAGCATGGAAAACCGTTCACAGATCGAACAGGTAGCGCTCTTATGCAGGTATGTGAACTTTCCTCCATATTTTCCTCCCCAAATCCTCAAAATAAAAATGACGTCAAAGAACGCTGGTGACAGAGGATGGGTTAGAGAGCACTGCTCTGATGGATGTCAGTTCCTGCTTGGTTGCTCATGACTCAACAACTCCTCCCAACAGAAACACATCTACCATAGAAAGATTCCTTTATCGGGTTTCTATCATTTCATTAATGCAACAAAGCCTAGACCCGCACAGTGAAGCGGTGCGCAGTAAATTCCACGCAGTGAGAGTGTTCACTGCTCCTTCCTCACGTCATGCTACTATGTAACATTTGCTCCAGGACAAACAGTTAATCATGAATGCTTATTATATATTTAAGCCACGTACTCCTTTTTTATAGTGTATCGAGGACCAACTCTGCCATATTTAAAAATAAATACAGAAATAAATAAATGCTGAATAAATAAATAAGCATGCAATTAATTGCCAACAAAAATACAATAAACAAATAAATGTAAGTAGAAATTAAATTATACAGTAAGACATAAATGTATATAACTCTTTTAATTAGCTTCTTTATTTATTTGCCTTTATAATACTTACCTTATTTATTTTTTTGTCCTTTATAATCTTCAACTTTATTTTTTATTACTTATATTTTTAAGTATTTATTTATGTGCATGTTATAATATTTTTGTCTGTTTTATTCTTCCTTTGTATTTTTTTACCTTAGTTATTTCTTCGCCGCTGTTTATTTCTGTCTGCCCTTTTTACATTTCTGCCTGTCATATTTACATTTGTGTATGGATTTGTGTCTCATTATGCAAATGAGGAGGGGGTTTGTCCTAGAGAGTCAACTTCTGCTCATTGGTTGGCGGTCCATCTTCTTAACCCACAGAGCTCAGAGTACTAAGTGTAATCTAAGTTCTCTTTTCTGTTGCTGTTGTTCAATAAAAGTATGTTTTAAGATTATTTGAGGCGAGAATATTATACTTTTAAGCATCACCATATAGCCCATTCACAGATTTAATTCGTAATTTAAAAGAAAATGTGAAGAACTTGAGAGGAACGCGGCACCAGCGGAGCTCCAAGGGTAATGGCAGCCAGGTCTAACCACAGCCCGTCTGCAGCGGCCCTCTCTCGGAATAGCCGTGTGTGAAGAACCGCTGGCTATGATGGCGATTTTTTTGTTGTATTTGGCAAAGTTTGGCAAAGTCCCTACTCGCGTTCTAATGACTTCCGACTCGACATCAGACTCTCCTCCTGTAGATTCGACCGATGTAGTAAAATGCTAACCAACACGCTTCACACACGTAAAAAAATACAAAGGAAGAATAAAACAGACGAAAATATTATAACATGTACATAAATAAATACTTAAAAATATAAGTAATTAAAAATAAAGTTGAAGACTATAAAGGACAAAAAAAATAAATAAGGTAAATATTACAAAGGCAAATAAATAAAGAAGCTAATTAAAAGAGTTATATACATTTATGTCTCACTGTAAAATGTAATTTCTACTTACATTTATTTGTTTATTGTATTTTTGTTGGCAATTAATTGTATGCTTATTTATTTATTGAACATTTATTTATTTCTGTATTTATTTTTAAATATGGCAGAGTTGGTCCTCCATAATAGTGGGCTAATACGCTTAGAGCCCATCTTGCCATACGAGGCTTATAGAAGACTTTTACATTTTTCGGCTCCAGACAGATTTTTTTGTTTTTTGTTTTTTTTTGGCCCAATATGGCTCTTTGAGCAGTTTGGGTTGCCAACCCCTGATGGTCTGATATAAAGAATAAATTAATTAGTCTTATTTTTTTTTTCTTTATCATTAAATCTTCTTCACATTAACCCAAACTGTTGCACTAATTCCAGCAGCAGCTCTGCAGCGAGAGACACTCTGCCCCTCCCCACCAGCAGCAATCGCTGGACCAAAACAATGAGCCCAGATAGTTTTAGGTGCATTCACACCGAATGCAGTGTGTGCGGCAAGAGCTGAGGACTTGCATTATATCCCTATGCAAACCAGGCAGGAGCGGTTAAGGGGTCAGCAGTGAATTCCATGTGGGGAGAACACACTGCAAATCTATCAACCGATGCAGATACAAGGAAAAACAAACAGCTAATATCAGCCAGCTGGTGTGTTGGCCTGTCTTCTCTGATTATAGGTTTCATTTGTTCCAACATGCAGCTCCTTTCTTAAATACATCAAAAATATTTCCAAAAAATAAATGTTAACTTTTCCAGCCCTTCACCAAAATGTGAACAAAACTGTTCCTCTTTGGAAGCAAACTATATAAACGGTGTGACTTAGTAGAATATATGGCATTTATCTTTCATTGTCCTCCTAAAGGTTATATTTGTTAGAGCAGCATGAGACTCCAGTTTTTTGGGCCTTTGATATGTTTCTAACGTTGCACACGTTTATTTGATTCCTTTGAATTTGGGCCTCTTTGCTGAAGCTGCAGCAAAAATAAAAAAAATGTAATCAACAGCAATCAGAGACATTGCTGACATGTACAGTAGCAGGCTGACTGGGTTGATAGAGACGCGTGTGGGGCTGTGTTTGCCATCTTGCTTATTTTTACTTAATGGGAAAATTTGTTTCTGGGACTTCTTCTATAGATAATATAGAAATGTTTTTAATATTCTTGGAGTTTTTTTGTTTCATCTCTTTTTTTTTTGTTTCTTCTTTTTAGGAAAAGATGCCACTGGCTGTAGTTGGCAGCAATGTGGTTGTTGAGGTGAACGGCAAAAAGGTCAGAGGTCGTCAGTACCCATGGGGCGTGGCAGAAGGTAGGTTGACTCGGGTCCACCTCTGGAAGAGAAATAAACAGGTTTGAACTATGAGAAGAATGTAGACGACTAGAACACAGGCTTCAGTAATTCAAAGTTTCAAGAAACCAAAGAACAGTTTTAACGTTTCATCAGATTTGTTATGTGGATCCGTATAAACTCTCACTGCACTTTATCAGACAGGAAATTTGCCAAAAAGAGGCTGAAACATGTTGCTGTTTAAAGGTGGACGTGTTTGGAAAGTTGTTTGGATGAATGACGTATGATGGAACATCATGCATGTTTCCCCCATCTGTCCACTCAGTGTGTTCTGTACCGGGTAATATATCAACTTGTCAAAAATCTAGATCAGCTTAGCTTTTATTTGGAAACTCTATAATTGATTGAGGAATTGTTAAATCAGAAGCTAATGGAAGTAGATTAAACGCATTTAATTACACCCAAGATAGATTTTTAAAACTGGACTTTATAAATACCTTTCTTTATTACTCTAGAGTTGGATAAACAAATTCTAGCTACACTCTCACTGGAACTTTATTTTATATCTATCACCACTTAATGGTGATGCATCAAACACATAATAGAAAGAAGCATTATCAGCTTTTTGTTCAAGAACTGAACTTGATTTTAAGCCTTCCAGGCTCTAAATGACTGATAAAAAGACCATCAGGATTGAGGCTATTCCCGTCCAGATAAAATAACCAGATTGGGAACAAATGCTTTGATCATAGACAGTAAAACCTCTGGACTGAATTTGTTTCCTTCTTAATTCTATATTGTTTTTTTTTTTCATGAATATTTGATGTAGCATAAACTATCTGATAATCCACTGTTTAGGTGTGAAGTGTTACATTTTGACTAGTGAGGGCATAGATCAGTTAGATCAGTTTCCTATCCTACTTCCCTCCTGCACCAGTGTACCCACTTGTTTTGGTAGAGTTGATCCTGAAAGGGATTCTGGAAAAGGAGAACAGACCTGGAGTCCTCTGGTATTTCACGCATCCTCACAGTCCACCTCTGTAAAGTGTTCTCTTTTCTTTTTTTATGCCGTTTTGGGAAGGGGTCTGTATATCCTCAATGAAATAAAGTGAGAAGCCTTTTGTTGCTTTGTGGTTGACCATGTATCAGTCTGTCACTGTCTCATTCTTTCTTTTCTCTCTTTTTTCCCTTTTTTGTTCTTTGTCTACTCTATGTCTTACAGAGGGCATTTTTGGTAAACAAACCATCATTCACTTTATTTCAACCCCCCCACACCTCTTGCCTCCATGTAAACTCCCACCTCCCTCTCTTCAGAATCTGCCCCTCCCTCCTTTCCCTCCACTTTCATTTGCTTTGCTCTCACCTCATTAGGCTGATGGTCAAACCAATGCTCTGATCAGACTTGGGCTATAGACTGAAAATCTCCGTAACACTAAAGCAGATGAATTATGCATTAACAGTTCAATCCGTAGACACATTTATTGCCATAATGAAAAGCAACACATGCGTCTCACAAACAGAATGTGACGGTTAACAAGTTAACCGGAAGAAACTTTCAGCATAACCTTCCAATGTATGACCTGGTATCTGCCACAACCAGGTAGGGAGAGGAGAAAATGGACACAAGGCCAGGTCAGCTCTTTATGGGAAACTAAATCCAGAGCAATCATTCATGGTTCTGTCCATCATTCAGTGAAGAACTTTCTAGAGAAAAAACGGTTAAAGGCAGCAGTAGAAGCAGATAAAAATAACGGCCCAGGATTACCATCTGTCGGTCAATACATATGCTGTGTCTGAACGTCTGTCCTAACCCCTTAATCTCTAAGTCAATATATAGAGCAGGCACTATATAGTGGACTTTATAGTGACCTTTCGGACAGATGATCACTACCTTTCGCTCCTCGTTGCTGACGTGACTCTGCCTACCGGCACAGCACCCGGCCATCTTTGTTCCGTCTCTCCGTCAACATAAATCCCATGATGCTCTTGCAAAGCATTTGGGGACATATCCGCTGCCGCCTACAGCTGTCTCTACCCGGCACCGGCAACAAATAACAAAGATGGCGCAGTTACTGTGCGCAGAGGCGGAGTCTGCGTAAAGCGAAAAGTAGTGATCATCTGTCCGAACAGTCAGTTAACTGACTCCCCCCGCTCTATATAGTGATTAAGAGATGTAGGGGTTAGGGTAGATATTTGGGCACCTATATAATATGGCGTTATAACTATATAGTGCTCTATATAGGGGTTAGGGCTGACATTCAGTGATCAAAATTAATATGGCGGCTCTTGGTAGCCCTGGCCAGTAATACAAGCATTTAGGCTTAGTCCACTTTCTGCAAAATAAAATATAAAGCTATTGTCCACGATAACTGTATTGATGCATGAAGATATGGTACCAAGATGAAGTTAGGATATAGGAGTTTTGCTCCAACTCCTGGCTACATACCAGCAGATTTCCACCACCCGGTGGATAATAGTGGGACCCATAGAGAGAAAAGTGTAACCCCGTCACATAACAACTGGTACAAGTTTAACATTCAAAGCTCTAGGAGAGGAGAAAACATCCATTTATCATAGTCAATTTATTAAGCCTTACAGATATCTTTGCAATAAACGTAAACGGAATAAATTTATAAATTTATAATGTTTTCATTAATTAAGGGTTTTTATGGCCCATACATTTTGTTGAGGAGAGCCAAGTATGTACCAGGGTTCATATGACGCTAACGTGACATGAAGCTTTTCTCAGAGATTCACTGAATGTTTTCTTTATGTCTGCAGGGGTTTTTGTTCTGTTGTATTTTCTGTTCTGCTTTAATTACCATGACCTGATGCTAAAGCAGAGACATGATGAAATTAGTCAGAAGCAGATAATATACTGGCATCTAGTTTTTTTTACCTGAACCAAAGTTTTTAAGACAATTTAGGTTTCAATCAGAATGTTTTTGTGGTTTCAGTTTTGTAAACAGCAGACACTTTTAGTCGAGGCAGGTCAGAAGTTTCTGATGTGAGGAGGTTATAAGACCTCATGAGGACATTCTTTAGTCATCTGTTTACTCATAATTTTTGGTTTAATAAAAAAAAGACAATGATAATAAGCAACGTTAAAGAGGAAGAAAGCCATAGCAATCAAAGTCCACCTTAAAACTGCCCGGAGATTAAGTTTATTCCCAGGTCTGATTCTGTTAATAATCATGGAGAGAGCTAGAGGCTGTTTGGTGCTGAAACCCCATCTGCAACCAAAAAAAAAAAACTCACCCTAATGCTGTGGTTTCCTTATTTGCTGCTAAGGCTTTGAACACTGATTTAACACTGATGATTTAACACTGATGGTGATCATCAGTGTTAAATCTAAGCCCCAGAGCACCCTGCAGCTCAGCTCGTTCGCCACTAACTGAGCTGAAAGGTGCGGAGCGGGGATGGTATGAAGGCCTTGCTGCATCTCTGGATCACAGACAGCAAACCAACATGCTCTAACACATTGCTTATAGTGTCATAAATAGTTATGGGTAGTTAGTGTTTACTAGCGGAGCATGTAGCAGCTTATTTGATGAATTTGGGTAACATGGCTTGTGATAAATTTTCACTCATTAGCATACAGAATTTGACTGTTAGAGCTTCATCTTGATAGAAAAACATCCTTTTGTTCTGCATGTATTAAATAAAAGGCTGTGTGCTCTTTTTTATTGGACCAATTCTATTTCATCTTCAAGCCATTAAGGAGCACAGTCGGTAAATAAAAGCGGTGAAAATGTTTCTGAACTGTATTCTGATTGGTTACCTTTGAAAAATAGGATCCAAAAGCGGTGAGGCACCATCAGTAATCAGGTGTTATCTGACATTTATTAATACGTTTTTAGACTCTGTTAAATCCTTTTTTGTTTTCTTTTGACCCTTAACTTTTACTTAGATTCTCTACCTGTTCCTTTACTGAGGCTTGCACTCCCTCCTGGTCATGCATAGAACCCCCCCAATAACCGCCACACTCCCTTCTACAAAGACCTGTGTTCCTTATCAGTCAGTTTGGTCACATGCAGGTTTTGGTGTTTGATCCGGGCTGAATCTGGGCCAAATGCTGGCCAGTTCTGGGCCAAGTGTGAGCCGTACGGATCCCAGCAGCTCCAGACCCAGATTTAGCCCCTGGCTGGGCGCACACAGTAACTTAAAAACCGTACCCCTCCCCTTCGTCAGAGCTCCCTCCTCTAGAAGAGACAGGAGGTCAGTGGCTGCTTTGGAAGGCCAAGGGCAAGGACAGCTTAAGTTTCATCAATGGTAAGGTGTCCTCCTTCTTCCCTCTGCTGGTCATGATGTGCTGCTGAGTTGGTGGGAGGCAGAAAGGAGCAACGTACTGAATGAAGAGGAGGCTTGGAGATCCACCATGTTCAACCTGAGCAGTAGTTTATCTGGAGTCCTTTTCCAGAATCCCAAAGTCTGACCTTTTTACCCTGTCTGCTTTGTCTCAGTGTAAACTTATAACCATTCCACTGAGCCACAAAGTGGGAACAGTCATGTTGTCTTACCCTCAGTACCTCCGTCTGTGTGGCGTTCTGTGAGTCCAGTAGAGTAACACTGTGATCGGATAGGACTTTTTTTTTCTACCCATTTAAAAGTATAACTCACTAAAACAGATAAATCTCTTTGTTGTTTTAAAAGTCATTTATTTAATGTGCTCAAACTGGTCATTAAAGTTGCTTCCGCATGATGTTTCGATGTGCTTTTCTTCCTACATCTTAAAGAAAAGTTTATATTCTCTAAAACCTTTTTAATGTTTTGATGAAAATGTCTCCCAGAAGCTACATTTCCATTGAGAGGAATTCCTTCCAGGTGGCAATGGATTTGCAAAGGCAGTTAGATGCACTGTTTTGTACATCCAGCTGCTCATACAGATTATTTCTTTCACTTCAGAGCTGTAGGATTCAGGAAAATATTTCAAATAAAATAAATCTGGGTTTGTTGTTAACAGGACAGCAGGAAAACAGCCGTTCGTGTGAAACGCTTAGCTGTTTCATTCATTCATTATTTTAGAAATAAATCTTTGACCGTGTTGGACACACATTGTGACTGCTGGTTTGGAGAGTTTAAATTATTTCAGATTAACCATTATCTTTTTGATTAGCAAGGAGCAGGGCTGAAAGGGTTTGATTGTACAGGGTTTGTCTCCAGTTTGTCCTGTAGGTGTCAGCAGAGCGCATGCAAAGGCCCTGAGGGGCTCATTGACTTTCTAAACACTTTTGTCTCGGGCCATTAAGGATCTCTAAGACTTCCGTGTAACACTTCTGTTTAAGTTGCAAAAAAAAAAACTCATTAAAGCATCTGAGAAAATCCACCATCTAAAATAAAATGGCAATCTCAGCAGGTGTGCTTGTTGTGGGAGAAACTCCTACATATTCCTGAAATTTAAATCTCTAAAAGAACTCATCCTATCTGATCATAGTCTTTCTCTGTTGTTTTCTCTAGATACAGTACTAACACTATAAAATTTTGTTACCATGGGAACGGATCTCGTTGAAAATGGACCCCCTTCCTTTAGACCTCCTGAATGACTGAACTGTCTGTTTAATACTGACTTGCATTTTAAAGTTTTTAGTGTGAAGATCTTTGAATCCATGTTATCTCAGCACTAAATCAAATACTGAACAGTTGGTAAGTTTTTAGTGTAGAAAGGAAACAAGCCACAGATATCTGAAAATCCACCGCAGAGATAATCTGAGGATGAATTTGATAAGACATGGTACTGTTGAATTGTGTGTCTGACTGCTGCTGTTTTCTTCTCTCTGCTTGCTATGTTTCAGTTGAGAACGGGGAGCATTGCGACTTCACTGTGCTGCGCAACATGCTGATCCGGTGAGAAACAGGGTTTTACTGCAAACCTGCTTCTCTCATTTTCACAGGGATGTGCCCCAATGATGTCCATCTGATAGTGGCTTCAAGCTTTCTGTCCCTAAAACTGTTTTAATTCTGCATTTGGAAAGAAAGTTTGGAAAAAGGTGCTACAGATTTGAAAAGTCCATTCCACAAATTGAAATAAAGATAATATTCACAGAATAATCAGAGCATAGTTTTATTATAGTTATTGATGCATTTAAAGACAAAATTTAAAATTTTGGCTTTTTCTACGTAAAACAGGGATGTTAAATTTCAGTGTTAGTTTATTTGTCATACGAAACAAAGGCTGTTTGGCAGGACTGGGTATCGATTTTAATTTCAACGATCGACTGCATAATTATCCAACATATCAATATTTTTAGATTATTATTTAGCAGCAAATGAACAGAGTAATAGCAGTTTTTGGCAGCTATAGAGAGCTATATGGAGAAAGGATTCAAAATGGGAATAATTTTTTATTATAATTTTTCTTTACTCTGTCCTATTTTATAAAAAAAATCATGATGTAAGATAAAAGGACTTTAATATTTGAAATAAGTTATTTGTTTTATAAGATTTTTGTAGATAGTAAAAAAATAAAACATTTATTAATTACTAAATATCGTTTTTTATTAAAGGGTCAACTGGGCTGCTTTAATCCAAAGCTTAGAGCTTTTTTGTTGTTTTTGCAGCATTCAGATGGGGTTTTTCAGAATGGGAAAATTCAAACAAAACAGATAAATGAATAGCACTAAAATGTAAATTGTTCAATATTTGTTTTTTTATTTAAACACATTTTATTTAAAAATTTGTTTTCATGTTGTGTATGTGATTTTAAATTTGTCTTCTGTTAGATTTTATGTTTATCGTGTCATATCTTTGATTTTTGTTTGTTTTTTGTTTTTTTGGTAAATATGGACCTCGGTCTGTCCATAATGTTTTGCGGTTAACCCCTTTGCGGTTAATATTGTCATTGATGGGGGGTTTTGTAGTTGGAAACTAACACAAGAGAGAAGATAAACTTACTTGCGCATACATATCGCAATAATAGAGGTTTTTAGGTAAGGAAAGCAAATGATCATTTTGTATTCATGCGATCATCCTGAAACGGCTCAGGCGTCTGTGGGTACAGTGTTTGTTTTGCAAAAGAAAGTTGCGGGTTTGATTTCAGTTTCCTTCTATAAACTGATCATTAGTCCCTGGGCAAGCTGCTAAACCCAGGTTACCTGCTGTATGTTGCTTTGACCTGGCTCAGTGACGACTTTTAACCGATTTAAACATGGTGTTCTGTATTCTGATGGATTTGGGAGATGTTTATTTCTGTGTTTTTCCTTTTTTTTTTCTCTCCTTCCAAAGGACACACATGCAGGATCTGAAGGACGTCACCAACAACGTCCACTATGAGAATTATCGCAGTAAAAAACTGGCCGCTGTCACCTGTAACGGGGTGGACACCACCAAGACCAAAGGGCAGCTCACAAAGTAAGACCTCAGCTCTAGGGATTACTATTTCTTTTTAAATAGTAGTATTCTATTCATACATAAAAATACTGTAATGCCTCAGTACGGGGGGAGAAAATGAAGTTAATATTTTCCAACTGTACAGCGCTGCGCTTCATGAGAGTCAGAGATCCGGTTCAGTTTCAGCTGATAGAAAACTCCACCTAGCAATCTCTGTGAACTTCTCTTATCTCCTTTATTTCTGTGACCCGCAGGAGTCCTCTGGCTCAGATGGAGGAGGAGCGCAGGGAGCATGTGATGAAGATGAAGAAGATGGAGGCGGAGATGGAGCAGGTCTTTGAAATGAAGGTTAAGGAGAAGAAGCAGAAGCTGAAGGATTCCGAGGCTGAGGTTGGTGATAATGATGGTTTACCTCAGTGCTGACTTATCTTCAACCGTCCTGAATGGTGTAGATGTAGAAAAGTTTAGAAAAGATTATGATTGAAATATCAAAACTGACTTTATTAGATAACTTGTGAGCTATTTAGAGGATGCATGAAAATGAGGTCAAAGATGAGTCTAGGTATATAATTCAGGGACCTCAGTAAATTTATTGGCTGACTAATTATCTTCCTTTACAGTTAAAGGTATAGAGGATGATCTTTTATTTCTGGATGGATTCATAAAATAAGTGGTCCTCCTAATTGTCAATCATCCTGGTGATATGTGTACGTAAGGCCATCCTATGTGCTTGTCCTGCTATCTTTTTGTGCGCATTTACACTTTCAGGTGTGTATCTGTGGTGAGCTGCGGTTTCAGAAAGTCATTGAAGCTCACCTTTCTCACCACGGGTCTTTGAAAACGGCTGAGGGTTGTAAAAGTGTCTACCATGTGTATAAAAACAATAGAAAAGCATCAGAAGTGACAGATATATCCTAGAATGTTTTGCGCGGAGAGCTCTCCTCCCAAAGCATTATGGGATTTGCTGTCACAGTGGCCCACTGTCGCCATAGGCTGTTGCTATCCGACAGCGGAGACTAAGATGTAGCAGTCACCACGTGGTGGAGGTGGAGTTACGTTACCAATGGAGCAAAAAGCATTGATCTGTCCAAATGATCACTTAACTTGCAGTAGAAAACCAGTATTAACTTGAGTCCGAAAGTGATTCGATTCTGTGCTGATTTTTTTTAATCCACAGCTGGAGAGGCGCCACGAACAGATGAAGAGGAACCTGGAGGCGCAGTACAAGGAGCTGGAAGAGAAGAGGCGAGTGTTCGAGGATGAGAAGGCCAACTGGGAGGCTCAGCAGAGAATCCTCGAGCAGCAGAAACTGGATGCCTCCAAGTCAGTACCAGTTTGCTTTGCCTTCATCACCTTCTGTTTAGCTGTTAATAGTGACGGAACAACATTATGAGACTGAGGAGGAAATGGGAGGAATTTAAATGTTGATTGACTTTTATATCAACTATACTTTTGTATCAAATTCACAGCAATAATCAGAAAGCTTCCTGAGCTTTAGTGAACTCCAAGGGCCCAACACAATTTTTTATCTCTGTTGGAATCAAACTTCTTTTTACACCATTTTACACTTGATCTTGAACGATCTTGAAGGTAAGGGAGAGTTGCACTCTCCCTTACCTTCATTGCTTTGGCTTGTTGACCAATGGTATGGTACAGTGAAGTAATCACAGTCACATGTTATGATAAATATACACACAAAGGATGTATTTACTGACAAACTGAGCAAAAACAAAGCTTAAAATATAAAAGAAAAAAAATATATGTCAGCAGGCGCAGTAATTTGTCATTAAAACGTTCAGTTACTGGTGTATAAATAAATAAAAAAATGTCAGATGCACCTTTCATTGTCTTGGTTTAGTTTGGAAAATAGTTAATGTATTTTATTGTTTCTCCTTTCTCTGACAGGACGATGGAGAAGAACAAGAAGAAAGGGAAAATCTTTTAAAGCCAGAGAAAACCTCCCGGTTCAGTTTCAAACTCCTCTACCTGTCCATGTCCTCTGAAGTCTTTGTGTCATGTGGGCCTCAGACCGATCATTCAGTCAGATGTCAAATTCAACCTCCCCCGTATCACACGACGCAGAAACGGACTCGCCTCTGCAGCGCCTCTGCTTCTCATGAGGAATGCATGTTTGTGCTTTTCTATTTGCTGTATTTCTTGACAAAGAGGGACCTTCCTCAGAGTTACCACGTGGCAGGGACCATGCATATCCATTTGTAAACATGTAGTTTTTCAGGTCCGCAGATAGCGGTTTGTTTTACTGTTAGGAAGCTAGAACCCCTCAGACATTGAGTGTTTGCAGTGTTGTCAGTCTGCTGACGCTGATTCTGCTTCAGGAGCTGCTTGATCCGACTGCAGACAGACTAGTTAGTGAACCCGTTCAGCGGCAGATCTCCGTCTGCCTCAGGAAAGGGTAAGAAAACAGGATTCTGTGGCACTATTCAGGTTTTAAAACACTCGTTAACAAGGTTTTTCCAAAATAACTTTTCTTCCCTTGTCTCTAGTTAAAAATATCTTCTAAGATTAACGGCTGTAAACAAATGAAGTAAAAGCTTCTCAGTCTGAAGCATGTTTGCATTCTGTCCAGCTGAAAAGGTGTTCTGCTAACCAGTTAAAATCAAAATGTTTTTTTTTCTTTATAATAGTATGAAAAATAATCCCTTCTGATTTCACGTCTGTTCTGAAACATTAGAATTATTTCTGTTTATTCTAGGATATAAAGTGAAGCCTCACTGGTGTGACATCACAGTGAACAAAGGTGTTTTATATTGATGGGTTTTATATCATCCACCTAAACCCTCTATCATGATTATTCCCAATAGTTTATGCAAAATTACACAAAGGAGGATTTGTTTAATCTGTAAATTGATAGAATTCCAATCAAAATAAAGTTTTTCATATTTGTTTTACAAATAAACTCACCTTTATGTTGATAAATAACAGAACAGATTTAAAGGGTTTAGTTTACTATTTCTTTCCTCAGAGCTGTAATGTTTTATTTTCATATGATGGATATAAAATACTGGTTGTACTCTACCTTAATCCCTTCTTTGGTTGAATAAATCCCTTCTTCCTCCTGATAAATAGCAGGGCAAACCCACAGCACATAAAGTATTAACTGTATTTACCTGCTTCTGATGTGTACAAACAAGAAGCTGTTCAGTTTTTCTTTTTTTTTTCCACATTATTTCAGAGCAGAACCGCATTCATCTATACATCTGTCCCCTTAAATAAAGCTCCTCACAACTGCTCCCCCTTTTTTGTTTACATCTAATCTGAAATCATAAGAATCTGTAACGACTGACCCAAATGCTTAAGTTTAGCTGTATTTTTTGTAATATTTTCTTTTTTTATATATATCTATATAAATACAATGTTTCTTCTTTGTTTATCATGTTTTCTGTCTCTTAACTGTACATGGTTAATATTAAAGTTATGCTTTAACAATAACTGCCTGTGATTTTCTTTTTTTAATCGTTTTAGGCACTTAAAACTTGGGCATTTACAACTTTTCATGCTGTTGGAATTGAATAAAATTATTTTTGGTGATTGGGAAAAAACAAATGTTCATCTTAAAGGAAAGTTGATATGCTGGTGAAGATTCTCAGTCATCCAGGCCATAGTCATTCAAAAAAAAGTTTTAAAAAATCAACTGGACTTTTTTTCCAAGTTTGAAGACATTTCACTTCCCATCCAGGAAGCTTTTTCTATTCAAAATGGCTGAAATTGCTCTGAGTTCTTTGTTAGCCTGCAATTCCTAAAAATTTGATAGTGATATGTTATAATTTTAATAACTAGCTACACCAAATATTTTTTAAACCAAAATAAGTCATTACTGAGTTGTCACATTTTTGTGAAATTAAACTTTATTGATGAAAATAAGCACAGTAAGCTGTATAATATTTTGACGTAAGCAAAGAAAGGCAAATATGTGTATATTTACAGTGGGATTCCAAAGTCTGTAAACAAATAGTTTAGGGTTTATTTTGATATAGACCAACTTCAAAAAAGTCATTTTAAAAAGTTCAAACATATTAATTAAGGCTTTTAAATTAAAGATTGTATCATTTATGTCTTTATTTTTTCTAAAACGCTGTTGAAACTAAATCGGTATTTAGTAAAGGTTAAAGTCCAAAATGAATAAAGTAGAAAACCCTCCTATTTAGTGGCCAAATAAAAAAAAAATCTAGGAAACATTGGTTTGCATTTATGACAGGGTTGTTCAGGTTTCCATGGAGATGATCAGAGCGTTTTGGACCCTGCTGCGGGAAGTGATGAGCTTCATGCTGTTCAGACTGCAGGTGAAGAGGATGGCGCTGCTTGCTCATTATCGCTCTTGGAGACTTTTGGAGTTTTCATGAAAGCTCTGATGGCCCATTTCTGAGTCAGACCCACACAGTAGTCCCCTTGAGGAGTGTTAATCCTGCAGAAATAAAAATTGGTTGTTAATACGTTTACATTACAGGAGACTGAGAATTGCTTTCTATAAACTTTCGAATTATCAGTGAGAGATGGACGTACACAAATCCTCGTTTTGAGCAGCTCTGATGAGTTTTGCTGATGGACAAAATGTGGGCGTCTGGGATCCTGCCTGTGAAGAATTTAAAGCAGCACCTCCCGGGCTTCAAGTCATTCGGTCCATGAACTGAAAAAAGAATAAAGCTCCAATGATTAACATGAAACAACCTGATGCTTTTATTCCTATTAAATATGCCCTCAGTAAAACCCTTCCTCAGAACCAAAGCCTCATGGATCGAGTTCAGGGAAAATATTTTCAGGAAACCTCATAAACCTTTGATCGGACAATTTCTGGTATACCGGTTGCAAGTTTTCTACTCTGTAAAAAGTGTTTTTGAAGAGAAAGCAGTTGTGAATCTCTACACATATATTGATCAGTTTGTAAGAACTGCTTTACATCTCGGCTGAATGGAGCCAACCAGCTTCTGGCTCCTCTGAGCAGGTATTCCAACCAACGGTAACTAGACTGGTTCACATTATCTCTACTTTCTATTCTGTTTCAAGTTGGACAATAGTTGGAGGTTTGAACTAAGATGCTGCTCATCTCCTGGTTTGGTTTGAGTTTCATCACTTTCCAGGCATTTTATATTTCATATAAGGTGACATAACCTCTGGAAGCCCTTGGATTGGTCTGTGGTTGGAATCAGTGATATACCTATGAATTATCTGAGACAATATTAACTTTTGTTTCTTGTGTCAGAACACAAAGGGCCAGGTTCACTAGTGCTAAATGGCCCATAATTATAAAGCACTTTTGTTAAGTCAGGAGGACACTGGACCAAAGTGCTTCACACTACATTTATCGATGGTGGCAAACTACATTGTAGCCACACCTGCCCTGGGGCTCACTGACAGAAGTAAGGCTGGCGTGCACTAGCGTCACCGGGCCCTCTGACCACCATCAGTGGGTTGCTTCACCATCAATGCGGGTGAAGCCATAGCCAGGGCTTGAACCATCAACCTTTCAATTTCAGGGCAAACTCCAACATCCAACGCCTTCTCTGCCCTGTAATGATGCCATGAGTGTAAGTGAATGGTGTCCATTACCACTCCTGCCATTTTCTATCCATTGTTAATGTTTACTTTGTTTAATTAATAGATGTTTTATTTTGTTTAAATTTA